GCCGCGCCCCGGGGCTGGTGTCCGGCGTGCTGTCGTCTGCGGACAGGGAGCCGTGGCGGCCCACCGAGTGTTTGAGCTGGCTCACCTTGGCCTGGCTGTCCTGGGCGAAGCCTTTGATCAGCGACACGGAGCGGGACAGCAGCGGAGACCCGAACGGGGAGGACTCAGCTGAGGACCCCGTGTCACTCTCCCCGCCGCTGAAGTAGCGCCCGGGGCTCCTAAGGGCCCCGCCGGCCTCTCTGGCCGAGCCGTTGCCCCCGTTGGCCTTGGCGGCCGCCCGGCGACGCACGGAGCCCGGCGAGGTCACCTGGGCCAGCGCTCCGTGCTCGCTGTGGAACAGAGACTCCTTGCGACGCGTGTGCGGACTCTCAGCCAGCGTGGTGAAGCCGTAGGACGTCTGTGCCTTGGGCACCGAGGGCAGGGACATGGCGCCACGGGCCGGGGGCTCGGCAGCCGCCGCTGCCTCCTCGGCCGGCGCGTCCTCGGCGCTCTCGATCTGAATGACGTGGCGCGTGGCCGCCTTCAAGAGGCTCCTGCTCTCTGCGGCCAGCTTGGCTGGGAGCCGCGGGCTGCGGGGGGCGCGGCGGGGCGCGGCCGCCGCCAGGTTCTGCTCCGACGCGGACGCGCCCAGCTCGGCGGGGGCCTCGGTCTCCGCGGGGCCGGCGGGCAGCTTCGGGGGGATGAAGAAGTCGGGGATTTTGTCGGGCGTGAGCACGTTGCTGTACAGGGGCCCCTTCGAGGCCTTGTCGCTCGCCTCACCCCTGGCAGTGCCGTTTTCGCCAGAGCCGCGAAGCCGCTCTAGGAACCACATATTGGTTTTTCTCATGAGGGCGGTGGACGAAAGACCAGGACCCGGCGTCCGTGTCTGGGGAGAGAGGCCGAGGTCAAGAAGTCGCAGGGGGGCTTGGGTGCCTGTCCACTGCGGGGCAACCTGGACAGGGCCTGGGCAGGGGGAAGGCCCCCGCGGGGCCTCCTTGGCCCCAGAGGCAATGGAGGGCCCTGGGGGGCCCAAGATGGGGGCACTCGTCCCCTTTGCAACGTGATCGCTTCAACTTCGAAGCGAAGCCCAGAGAGGTGGGGGCGGCACCAGGGCTCTCGGGGAGCTCCCAGGGGGGCGACCTCTCTCTGCCCCACCCCCGTTTTGAGGCTCTCCAAGCGCTCTCTACAGGTTGCGCGCTCTGTCCCGAGAGAAGACGCCCCAGTGTGGGTGGGCCCCGGGGTGCCGCAGCCCCGCCCCCCAGCTCCCACCTGTGGCTGCTCCTGAGGCTGGGGGTCCAGGCATTGGCGCGAGGGGAAGGGGGACACTGAGTCTAGGGGTCGACAGCGCAGCCAGTTGCCCTCCCCTCGCCCCGCCCCCCATGAACTCAGCTCGGGGTGGGGGTGGGGTCCTGGCAGCCCCGCGGTCGCGGCGGGGGTCCTGGAACTCACCTGTCTACCGATGATCTGGGACTGGGAGGCTTTCTCGCGGGCACGCAGGGGTCTTGGCGCAGAGGCTCGGGGGCTAGCTCGGCGATGCGGCCGGAGCTTTAATACCCGCGGTGGTGGCAGCGCAGTCGGACTCATTCACCAGCGGCGGCGGGAAACCGCCCAGCCCAGCCGCCGCCGCCGCCGCCGCCGTATTCCTCCTAGTACAGCCGCACTCTCGCGGCGTCTCCACCGCCCCCCTCTCTGTGCCCTGTCCCTGGACCAAGGGGCGGAGCTGTCTTCCTTCGCAGCCCCCCGAGGCGGGTCGCAGGGAGGAGCTTAGCCAGGACCTGAGGGCCCATACGCAGTGGGAAGTGGGCAGGTGGCCACAGTTCGCTGACGTCCATTGCTGGCGGATCCTGGGAGTTGGGGACCCCTGCCGGGAACCCCCCACTTGTGGCCCCTTCTTCTCCGGGCAAGCGATGATGAATGAAATAATAGCGGTAATGACATGCAGCTGAATTCACAAGCTGGCTGTGTTGCTTTTGTGGCATCTTTGGTCTCTGCGACCACCCAAGGGGTCTCCCTACGCACAGATACATAGGGAAGGGGAGCGGATCCTTCTGGAACTAAGGGCCGAGCGACTGTTTGTCAGACGTTGCCTCTCTGCTCGTGGACCACGTGCCCCCAGAGCCCTCAGGGCTATGGCAGCGATCAGGTGCCGCTGGGCCGGGGAGGTGAGGGCCCAACCATAGCCAGGTGCACATCGTACAACTCTAGGAGCGGTGGCGCCTCACAAATGCAACAGGCGGCTGCGGTGAGGGGCAGGTGGGACCGAGGAGGGAGGAGGCATCACGTGCTTTTCACTGGGGGGCGGGGGGAGCCGGGGAAGCCCGAGCTGCTGCAGCCACGGGCTCCCGCGACCTGAGGCCCCTTCCTGCCCCCTCCCAGGCTCAGTTCCCTTCTCGAACCCAACCAAGGCTGACCGTTTTGCATCCGGCTCGGTCTGCGCAGAGCCAGCGGGAAAACGCATCCCCAGGGCGGGCGGAGGCCTCGCCGTATTACAGTCTGCGCGTCTGGAAGCCTCCCCGGTTCTGGAAATGCCTCCCCCCATCCGCATCTTGCGGAGCTGGGAGGGGGGCTGGTCGGGAGTGGCCACGAGGTCAGCGGTCAGCGCAGAGGAGGAGCAACGCGAGGCAGGCGGGCGGCCAGAGGCCCCGCCCTTTACTGCTCCCAGTCAACCTTGGGGCAAGGTGGGGTTTAGAGTCCTAATGGCCATGTGGGGAAACTGAGGCTCAAGTGGGCCATGACTCCTCCAAGAGGCCCATCCCAGTTTTAAGCCAAAATTGGAGCCCACTTTGTTCTGCGGCAAACTGACTCAGTCCCACAGTCTGACAGGGGAGGCAGGCATCGATGAATGATGCATCGTTTTGCCACCACCGCCTCCAGAGAGCCTGCCTTGATTGCTAATGAGCTTTTGTGAAGAATGTCCTGGCGCAACTCCCCGATATCAAAACCTACTGTACAGCGCGGTGATTTAAAACAAACAAACAAACAAAAAAATCAGCCCTGGAGTCGACTCCGGCTCACAGCGCCCCTAGAGGACAGAGTGGAACTGCACCAGAGGGCCTCCAAGGTTGTCAATCTTCATGGAAGCAAAGCCCAAACCACACCCACTGCGGAAAGTCCATTCAACTCACAGCAACCCTATAAGACAGAGTGGAACTGCCCGAAAGGGTTTCCAAGGCTGTGAAGACTGCCTCATCTTTCTTCTGTGAAGCAGCTGGTGGGTTTGAACCACTGACCTTTTGGTTAGCAAACCAATATTTTAACCACAGTGCCACTAGAGCTCTTTGGGTTCAATGACAGACATGGAAAAATGAAACAGGACCGATCGATACCTCACACTATACATAAAAATGAACTCAAAATGGAACAAAGACCTAAAGTTAAAACTAAAAGCATAAAATTCCTGGAAAAAACATGGGACCTAATCTTTCATAAAGTAGCTCTGGTGGCATAGTGCCTAAAGCATTTGACTGCTAACCAAAAGGTTGGCGGTTCAAAACCAGAAGGCTGGCCGTCCAAACCTAGAAAGTTGGCGGTTCAAACTCACCACACACTCCGGGAAGAAAGACTTGGCAATCTACTTCCATAAAGGTTACCACCTCGGAAACCCAATGGGGGCCGCTATGAGGAGGAATCAAGTCAATGGCAGTGAGTCTGGTTTTTGGAGTCTTTCGTAAACAACAGGATAACAAACAACAAGTGCATGAATGGAAGAAGACCAAACAGATCATTGGAAGCTCACAAAATTAGGAACTTATGCTCATCAAAAGAGGGAAAAGGGGACTTACAGACTGGGAAGACATCTTTGGAAATAACAAATCAGATAAGGGTCTAATCTCCAAAATTTAACTCCAAGCTTCAACAACAGGACAACAAAAACACAAACTACCCATGTATAAGGGCGCTCTGGTGACGTAGTGCCTAAGGCACTTGACTGCTAACCAGAAGGCTGGGGGTTCAAACCCACCAGCCACTCCTCGGAAGAAAGGTTGGGCAATCTACTTCCATGGTAATGCTCCCTTGGAAACCCAAGGAGGGGTCGCTATGAGTCGGGGCCGACTCAACGGCACATAACAATGACAAGAACAGCCTCCTAAACTGTAAGAGAATAAATTCCTATTTGTTAACACCGGTCACTAGTGGTATTCCGTTACAGCAGTGCCAGAGAACAAAGACCACCCTAGACGGGCCAGCGCCGCCACAAACAGACACACGCACACCTGTGCTCATCGCAGCTTTACTGCCAATACCAAACAGTGGAAACAACTGGCACCAGCAGGTGAGGGGATAAGTAAAATGTGGTACATTCACACAATGGAATACTACACAGCCATCAAGAACAATTATGCCTTCTCAACATATATATAACATGGGTGGACCCCAGAGGGCTTATTGCTAAGTGCAGTAAGTCAAGCACATCAGAACAGACATTGTCTGATCCTTCTTTCAAAAGAAGACGATCTACACACAGAGACCAGTGCTCGCTGGTGGTTCCCAGGGAGAGGAGAGGAGGGAGGAGGACGTATGCTCTAGGTTGTTGTTGGTGGTGGTGGTGTGTGCTGTCGAGTCGGACCCGCTCATAGCGACCCCTCCTTGGGTTTCCCAGGCAGTATCACTATGGAATGGAGTGCCCCATCTTCCTTCTGAGGAGTGGCTGGTGGATTGGAACTGCCAGCCTTCTGGTTAGCAGTCAGGTGCCTTAGGCACTGTGCCACCAGAGACTTGTCATTCTTAGTGATGGGAAAAATAGCACCAAATGTGGGTGTACTGAGCGCAGCTCAGCCCAGGTGTGCGATGCCACTAAGAGGGGCTGCAGAGGAAAGGGTGCTTGTGCTAAAGAAGCTGACGTGTAACTTGGCAACAACACCACCAACAACCAAAAGACAAGGTACGGTCACAGGTGTGTGTTCAGGCACACAGGTACATGTGTGGGTACAGGTGTACATGGAGTGAGCACAGTCAGGTACTGATGGACTTGTAAGGACATGTACAGTCACAGAAGACACAACTTGAGATACTTCTCGAATGGAACCAAATGCCTTCTGAGGCTGGTTTTCTGGGTTTCAAGGCTTAGCACCTCATGGGACCGTCCAGTCAGTTGACATAATAAAGCCCATCACATTCATGTTCTACAGAAGTGGGGTCTGGGGGTCCTAAAACCTTCCAAGCAGCCAACTAAGATACAACCAGGTGTCTACCATCAGGAGCAAAGAGAAAGAACGTAACCAAAATCACAGAAAAGAAAAAAGTCGACAAGGCTGACCGCCTACACAAGGCACGAGCTCAATTCTCCTGAGACCAGAAGAACTAGATGGTGCCCTGCTACCACCACTGATGGATGCAACCAGGGACACAACAAATGCCTGGTTAGAGTGGGAGAAAAATGCAGAGTGAAACTCAAATACTTAAAAATGGCCAGACTAACTGGACACTGAGACAGAGACTCCCTGAGACCACCACCCTGAGACGCTTTTCAAACCCTGAACTGTATCCTGCGATCACCTGTCAGCAGTAAAGCAGAGTGACTCACAAAATCAAGGTCATCACCCATTAGATTGGTGCTCTATTATAAAACTCCTTCATGAGTCCAGAAGGGCAACATTTAATCCAAAGTTAAGATGAGAAGATAAGGGGGCAAGCAAACTAGAGTAACAGGAACGGAACAACCAGACCGCAACTGACGAGGATGTCAACACAGTTGTCAACACTGTCTCTCTTGGAAGAGGCACAGCCGGAATGCACCTTCGAAGCGAGGATGGCCAGAGTTCACCGCTCACACTTTGGTCGTGTAATCAGGAGGGGCCATCCCTGGAGAAGGACATCATGTGTGGGAAAGTCATCAAAAAAGTGGAA